TGTTTTTAGATTCAAGTAGTAAGTTGATTACTCGAAACATTATACAATGAATAATGTCTAATCGATATGATGACTAAATGAAAGGTGTTTTATTTATACTCACAAGTTTGAGGCCATATTGGATTTGATTATTCTTGTGTTTCACTTTGCATGTTATGACTTCCGGAATAACTAGGTTATTCAAACATTCGCATTCAATCATACATTAGAAGTAGGTAATGATGTAAGACTGTCATGAGTCCGTCTGTAGATTGTCTATAGTGTTTAGACATAGCAAACGTATGTCGCGGTGTTCATGAGTGCTCCTGAAATAAGATTTGAGTATTGGAATAAACCCACGCTTACGTGAATCACTTCATGGATTTTATCATGAGTGATTGTGAGATGATAATATCTTACATTCATGAAATGGAGACATATAGTTGCAGTTTACAAGTCAGTTGCACGTTGATGATATGTAAACGCACTAGTAACTTGGTGTTATAAAACGTATTGTTGTGTGTGATTTGATGAGTAAATAGAGTAAGAATATGAGTCGATGTTTATTCGTTTCTTTTACCCAATGTGGGATAAAAGCTATATATGTGGGCCCCTCGATGATTTAGTGATGAAACCCTAAGCGCTTGTCCAAGCCTAGACTGATTTGATTTGTTCAATTGTAGTCTGTTATTAGTCGTCTTAAATCGGAAATCGGGAAACAACTATTGGATAGAGATTGATTATAATCCATGTCCCATGTCCATACGATATCTTGTAGAATGGAGGAATATTTGATCCCTTATCCAAGGACACGTCACTGACTAGGTTAGAGTTCAACAGTGGCTTTTGGTAGCTAAAATTTGCTAGTTAGTTTTTGAAGTTATACTTGCAACTATAGTTATTAGACTTATCCAAGTGGGAGACTGTTGGATTAGGTGTATAATCCCATAAGTATAATTGGTATGTACTTGAATTGATAGTAGCAATGTCCTTTTGGGTTCCATTTAAACCTGCCAATTGAATAGGATAACTGTTGGAAAGAGAAGAATGATTTATTAATTTATTACTTGGTTAATAAATTAATTTGAAATCAAGATAAATGATATATTAATGTATTATGGATATAATATATTAATTAGAAATCATATTGTTTAATTAATATTTAATCAAAAATTAATTTGGAATTAATTTTAGGATTAAAGGAATTAACTGAAACTGTAGGGACTAAAGGTGACAATGTTCAAAAATTGAGCATTGAAGCATTCTAGAACCACCCTTAGAGGTGGGGACAAAATATAAAGTGTCCTAGGGTTTCCTTGGGCTCTAAGGGTGCCTTGGAAGCCTTAGGAGAAAGTTAAGGGATTAGGGTTATCTAAAATACACCTACCTTATCCTAAACCTTCATTATCACTTATATAAACCCCTATAGGTTTGGATTTCGTCCCATGCACTCCAAGAAAGGCTTAGAGGCGAATTTTCATTTCCCTACTCTCTTTCCATAGTAATCCTTGGTTGCTAGGTTTGTTTGTGAGCCATTAGAGGCGTGACACTTGTGCCGCTTGCTACGAAAGTTCAAGATCTTCAAGGATTTGATTGTTATTACAATATAACAATAAAGGTATGTATCCTAAGCCTAATTATGTGTTAATTTCGAAAATTACATGTGCATCCTAGGGTTTCTAGTTTTTTGTGTTCAATGCTTCTATGTCTAATAGTGAAAACATAGATCCTCAAATTAGGGTTGCATGCATACATGGGATTGTTTGCTATGTATAAAACCCAACAGATTAATCACCGAGCACTTCTCACCCTTAATGAGTTTTGTAATCATTTTTGTAGAGAATGAAAAGTGGGTATTCAAAGCTTCAAGTATTCATTTGCAGATTTAAAAACCGGTATCATTTCGAGGGGAAGTTTGGTCTTGATCGCGTAAGCTCGTTGGATATTTAACCTGTGACATCCAATTCTAACTTTGAGAGGAAGAATGTTAGGGTGCAAAGTCACGCTTGGATGTATTTGTGCTTATCCTCTTGTATTGTGTAATGAATTGACTTTCCTATAAATAGAAAGTGAGTGACACTCATTTATGTAATGATCATTTTGGAGTGTTAGTTTTAGAGAGAGAAATAGTAGACCCATTTGTACTCTTTCTATCAAATACTAATGAGAGCTTAAACCAGATTTATTTACTCCATGTATTCATGATTTGTATGATGATGAACTAGATCTTTCATACTCCACACATGCCATCATAATCTTCACCACTACAAACCCATAACCTTTCATTTGAGAGTGTCACTTCTTACCGCTGGACCAAAAGCTATTTGGTTATAATTAAACACCATATTTATCTATTCATAAATAAATGCATCAAAACTATCACCACTTATATTTATTACAAAGAAATATATTTGAATCTAAGGATCAGTATATTTGAATCTTACTAAGGGTCATGTATCCACAATATATTAAACTACTGTGTTGAGTTTAATGGACTGTCACTATCCCATTGTTATTTTATCTTTTCTATTAATTTGAATTTTTTTAACATCAAAGTCCATTTTATTATAATTGAACACCACATTTATCTATTCATAAATAAATGCATCAAAATTGTCACCACTTATATTTATTAAAAAGAAATATATTTGAATCATACTAAGGCTCAATATATTATAGAATCCTTGGGTCATGTATCCACAATATATTGAAGTATTGTGTTGAGTTTAGTGGACTTCCATTATCCTATCATTATTTTATCTTTTATATGAATTTAAGATTGTTTTTTAACAATATATGTAACTTTATAAAAATTCAATAAGATATTTAGATGATGTTTGTCTTGTCTGAGACAAAATATTGAGACCTCTATAGTAGAAGAGGTTGATCAAACGACTACAGTATCTATTTGTTTTTTAACATCTATATATTGCTAGAATAAATTAAAATCTAATTAAGCCTATATTTTTAATAAACTTAAATAGTTTTTCAATATATTTATGAATTATTATAGATAACTAACAAATGTAGATCAAATTTTATGTATTATTTTATAAAAAGTAAAAATAAAATTATAAGATGAATTAACATATATATTTAATAAAAACCAACAAACTTTTGTCGCAAAGTTATACTTAAACATTGTGTCATCGAATATTTTTTCTTTAAGTATTAAAACTTTTTTTCCAAAATGCTTTTCATATACAAAGTTAGAATATATGTATTTTTTAAAGGTAGAAAATGTGTGAAAATGTTTGAAGACTTTAATCTACATCTGTACAAAAAAGAGAGTAACCATACCTTTTTAGGTCTATAGTTTTCAAAAAAAAAAAAAAATAAACAATCCATGAAACCTAATGCTTGTGCGTGGTCTGCAGTGCGCACACAGATGAGACAAAAATAATATGCAAACAAAAGAACAAACAACTTATTTTAAACTTAAAAAACTATTTTTCAATGTTCATTCAATTTTCTATTCATTCCAATGAACGCCAACATAACATCTTCGGTTTAATCCACCGTAATAAATAAAATTGATTTTGTTACTCGTCATCTTCTGATGCATTATGTCATATAGTTTTTTCTTATTATTTATATTTTTTTTCTACATGTTATTTTATTGTTTTTCCATTTTATTAAATTAAATATAGTATTTAAATATAATAAATAATAATAGATGCATATCATTTTTATTAATGAATTTTCCTTCTAATTTCAAATTTATTAAATTAAAGCCCCATTTTATTTATCTAAATTAATTTTTTTTAATGTAAAAGAAAAAATATATATTTTAATTTTAATATATTTTTTTCATTTTTTTATAAATTCAAACTTTTTCAATATTTAAAATTTCATATTTAATTTCTTTATATATATATATATATATATATATATATATATATATATATATATATATATATATATATATATATATATATATATATATATATATAACTCTCACATCTAATTTATTAATTAAATTAAATGTTAACTCAACATCATGTTTCATTCAAATTTCTATTAAACAATATATTAATTGAATCTCCGATATAAAAGTAATAAATTGAATTGTTTAATTAAATATTAAAAATATTTAGTTTCTATAAAAAATTGTGAAATAGAAGATTTAGGGTTTTATGGGGATTGTAGGCCTATACACCCATGTGGTTGCATGTGCTGTGTCTTTCCCTCTTAACCCCACCACCTTCCCTCCCTTTTTCTCTTTCGAGAAAAAAACAAATAAATAAAGCCTTTAACTCTAATTCTCATTCATCTCTCTCTCTCTCTCTCTCTCTCTCTCTCTCTCTCTCTCTCTCTCTCTCTCTCTCTCTCTCTCTCTCTCTCTCTCTCTCTCTCTCTCTCTTACGTATTGTCTCTTTAACAACCGCTTTTTTCTCCTATAGACCTCCAATGGATGTTCAACAATAGAAGATATCAATACCACTTTATTCATTCAACCTTAGGAAGGTACACAAACATTGCAAAGTTTATGACTCTTTTCATGTGGTCTTGTATGATGTTTTGCATGAACATGTTGATCGACATTCTCTATGGAGATCTATAGGTCATGATCTTGAAGTTCATCCTTGAATGCATGTTTTCACTTCTGGCTTTTACCATATATACTCAACGAATACATAGTAAAAATCCAAAGTTTTCGTATGATACACAGTTGAATCGAATCTGCAAGGCTTACAAAAAATGTTGAATCCGTCATTGTTTTTGCTGTTTTTGTATTCTTGAAGGTGTTTAGTTGTTTTGTTTAATTTATTTCCTTGAGTTGTTTGTTGCATGTGAGGAAAGAATTTCAAAAGATAATTGTTTCTGCATGACTATACAATGAAATTATAATTCGATTCCAATATTTTTCATCAAGAACGCATTTTGATCATTTAGTTTAATTAATTTTTTACTTTCGATTATTGTAGGGAATCATAGTAATGCATACTTCTAGCAAGCTTAAGAGGGAATTCATCAAGAAATGGTTTAAGGGTCTTCAGATATGTTGTTCTTCAAAGAAAATGGATGTTTTGGAGAGAAAGAAGAAGATAAAGTTTTGTGCAGATATTGCTATGGCTTCTGCCAAAAATGCCACAACTTCTTGGAGCAATGCAGTAATTTCCGATGCTATGAAATACGAAGAAAACTCTATTCTCGTGGATAATTTATTAACCCACAAGTCAAGGTTCATGCCACAAAAGACCCCAGTTTGCAAAATGATCGCTCTCCATAAGAGGTTTCGAAGCAAGAAGATCTTGAAAAAGTGTTGTAGTGTTGCCCAAAGAGCAAAAAAGACGTTTCCTCCTACGTCCAATTCAGCTACTTATATTACAAAAAGATTGGTAAAAAAGAGAACCCAAGTTCTTAAAAGACTTGTACCTGGTGGAGAAGCCATGGATGAATTCTCCCTCATCAAAGAAGCGTTAGACTACATCCTTTCCCTTAGGGTACAAGTTGATGTCATGAGAAATCTCGTGAATGCAACCGAGGTTTTGAATGAAAGTAATTCACCCATAGTCGATTAATACATAGCTTTTATTTTCTTCTGTATCTCAAAAACATCGGGATCGAGAAACTTAACTAAGGCTCGATTTCTTGAACCAAAATCATGTACAGGATCAAAAACTGCGACTTTGGTTGATGATTTTTGAGAAAATGCAGTTCTTTACTTTAATTTATCATCTCCGGTTAAAGTTAAAAAAGTTACATGTTAGTTTTTAAAGGCTTGGCAGCCTGTTTTAATTTCTTGCTAGCATCAAGAATAAGTATACATTTTCTTGATTTAGCTAAGGACTTTTGTAAGTTGAATTCATTATATTCTCAGGTTTTTTGTCCTTGAGTTGTTTGAAAATATTGAATGTGACGCACAAAATTGAGACAAGTGTTGGCTTTTTACATGATGCAAGTGTCTTGAATAATGTCAAGTGGAGTAATGGTAGATTCATAAGGTAATGCTCGTGAACCATGAATGGCTACTAATTAATACCCTCCCTTTATGCGTGTGATGCTTGGATCTTTAATACTGACACAGATCTACCAGAAACTGTTGGCGTCATATTAGCAACGAAAATTATTTGCTTGCTAATTAATTTCCTTCTCTAATCTGAACCATCTTTAAAACCAAATGTTAAACAATCAAAAGGATTACCAATGGAATTTTGGTTATAACAAAAATTAACTTTTCTTAAATAAAATTATTTTTTATGAAGTTATCTAAATAAGTACTCCAACTAAATATATTTTTATGAAAATTACAAATACAAAAAGGAAAGAAAATTCTTTAAACTAACTAATATATATGGCACATTCAATTGTTGTGATTAAAATATCATTCAACAATATCAACAACGGAAATGTCAAGCTATGAGTAAAACTACTCTAAAGGTGTTTTTTGTTTTTTCGAATGGAATGAAATTTACAGATCGCTTCTGCAACCCTCTGCAGCAAAAGAGATGGATCAAACGGATGTAACCTGTAATAAGAAGTCTATTGGTTTTTTTAACATCTACACGCTACTCCAATAAACTGAAATTTAATAAACTGATTTTATAAATTGAAAATAGTTTAACACCGAAATTTTTATAATTTTAGTTTTAAAACATTGAAAGAATACTAAAAAAACAAAAACATAAATTTCTAAAAAAATATAAAAGTTGTTATCAGTCTTTTTTCTAAGAAAAAACTAATTTTAAAGAACATAAAAAAAATATTACAAAAAAAAATTAAGGAAACATTACAAACAATCTATAAAATCCGTAAAAAAATCACACGTGTTAAAAAAAAATACAACCAAAACTGAAAATATTCTTAAAAAAAACAGTAAAAAGTTGAAAAAATAAAAAATAAAAAAATAATTAATTATAATAAATAATCAAGTTATAATAAATTATAGAAATATAAAAAGAAATTGCATTAAATCCGTAAATCAAAGTTTTAAAAAATCAAAGTTTTAAAAAATACCAAGTTGTACTAATTAAATTTTTAAAAAAATCACTTGCAAAAAAATGAAAATTGAAGAAGTTTGAAGAGACAAATCAAATGTTACATTGCACAAAAGTCTTATAATCAAAAACCTTCCAAAAAACGAAGAGGACAAATGTTGCACATGTGCAACAAAAAATTGTCTGGAGAGGTTTTTCTTGATAATAATAATAATAATAATAATAATAATAATAATAATAAACTCTTAAACATCATGAATTTAAAAATTAGTTGCAATATAAATGCATCATGTTTAAGAGTACATTTACTTACCATTTGAGATTTTAATTGTTGACTTTGTTGAACCAAATTGGAAAGCCATTGGTGTCGTAATAGCACAGATAGGGAGGGACAGATGCAAGAATTGATATAAGGTGTGACTTACGTTTTAGTCCTTACGAAAAAATCCTAAAAACCGGTAAAAGCTTGTATTTGACCCATTCTGACAGGTTGGAACTTGTAACAAATTAATTTAGGAATATTTCATAAACTGATCCAAAATATTGAGACTTCTCTGCAAAAAAACAAAATATTATGACTTTCTTACAAACAAAAACTTTATTATTATTATTATTATTATTATTATTATTATTGTCAAGTATTAGGGTTTTCTGCAAACAAAAACTTTATTATTATTATTATTATTATTATTATTATTATTGTTATTATTATTATTATTATTATTATTATTTTATTAAAAATATAAATAAGTATACTACTTTTTTAATTCATTATTATTAATATTGTTAATAATATATATAAATACATTTAAATAAAAAAATATTAAAGACATTGTTTAAGGGTGAAGGTGGAGCGGATGGCATTGAAATCATGAATGTTTGTTTGTATATTCTAACTTTGTATATGGTCATTTAATTCAAAATATTAACCCTTAACAATTTAAAAGAAGTTAGCGATTTTTTCAAATTGTTAATAAATAGTGAGTGTGTGCTATGCGTGTATGTCTTATGTGTAAGTATTTGAATTACCAACATGTGTGTTGCTCTTTTTCATTATTTTATTCATGTGGTTTTATTGGAAAAATAGCAAATATAATGTCATAAAACAAAACAAGTCATATTAATTTATATTAAATAAGATAGTGTAATTAATACTTTTGAAATTTGATATTGGCAACCAATGTAAATATTTATAGTGGATTTGTTGGATTTGAAAAGAAATCTTTCTACCTTAAAACATTTTATATACAAAGTGATACATTCTTTTATCTTAAACAATTTTACAAATAGGCAACTTCTTTTAAATTGTTAAGTGTTAATATTATGAATGAAAACAATAATAAGAAGTGTCAAATGATTATATGCAAAATGAGAACATACAATCATATATTCATGATTTTAATTCTTAAAACATTGCCACCACCACCACTTTCACCTTTGAAAAATTTCTTTAATATCTTTTTAAGTGTATTTATATGTATTATTAAAAATATAATAATAACGAATTTAAAAATTAGTACACTTGTTCATATTTTTAATATAATAATAATAATAATTATAATTATAATAATAATAATAATAATAATAATAATAATAATAATAATAATAATAATAAATTTTTGTTTGTAGGAAAGACCTAATTTTTTTATTTTTTTTTTCTGGAGAAGTCTCAATATTTTGGATCAGTTTATGAAATAGTCCCAAATTAATTTGTTACCGGTTTCAACCGGTCGAAAAGGGTAAAAATGCAAGCTTTTGCCGATTTTTAGGACTTTTTCGTAAACAAAAATTTGCAAAAATTTAGGACTTTTTTGGAGATTTCCCTATATATATAATTATCTTTGTTCAAAAAGAATTAGATGGGTAGGTGCATCAAAATATGGTGGATATCAAATAGATAAATTATAAACAAATGAAATACGAAGGAATCAAGCAATTATAGAATGTATTAGTTGATTAGATCATAACAACTCTTAAGTCTTAATGGTTAGAATCTAACTGCATATAGAATCTTATTAACTATTTTTTCTATTGTATCTTTAAAAGAAATTCAAAGTTGAAGTTATTAAAAATTTAGATAACCTTAGCAATGTCATAAGAAAATGTTGAATGATTTCCCTTCTATTTGTTTATATAAAGATATGTTATACAAGATTGATTTTGATATTATGATTTTTTTTTTATCTAAAAACTATACAAAAAGTAACTTTCATTAAATTAATGTATTTTTATAAATTGTTTGTATATATTTGTGTATTTGATAATATTATTAATAAATAAAAATTTTGCATCTAAAAAAAATAGAAAAAGAAAACCATCTTTTTCAAAGTTAATAAATTTTTGTAATGTTTTTTTGGCTATACTTATGTCTTTGAAAGGTCTTTTTTTCCTCTAGCCATAGGCCAAAAAATATATTTGGACTAGCCATGCTTGCATTCTAAATGTATCACCTTCAAGAGTCGTTTTACATACCCTTGACACTTCGCTTGACACTTTGTTGAATGCAATTGTTAGCGATTGGTGTCGATTACAATTACAAACAGTTAACTTGGTAAAATGTGAATTGTATATTATTCCTTAGCATGTCACGATTACATAAGTATTAATAAGAGATATATTTACACTATGTTCCTTCTAGAATTTAAACATGTAATTAATGCCTAATATTTATAACATTTGTCTAATATTCCCCCGCAAGCTAAGGTTGGGGAGCGACTCTTAGCTTGGACTGCAAGAACTGAAAACATTGAGAAGGTAGCAGTTTGGTGAACACGTCTGCAATCCGGTCATCTGTATTAATGAACTAAACCAAGAGTTGTTTTCGGGAAGCCTTTTCTCTAAAAAAATGAAAGTCAACTTCAACATGTTTTGTACGAGCATGAAAGACAGGATTAGCAGATAGGTATGTAGCACCGAGATTATCACACCATAGAATTGAAACAGTATGAGTAGAAAATTGTAGTTCCTGTAGAAGAGTTTGAAGCCATGTAAGTTTAGCAACTGTATCAGCTAAGGCTTTGTACTCGGATTCTGTTGATGATCGCGAGACGGTCTTTTGTTTCCTAGCAGACCATGAGACAAGATTAGAACCGAGATATATAGCATATCCCTCGTTGGATCGACGGTCATCCGGACAACCAACCTAATCAGAATCAGAGAAAGCATTCAAGGCATTAAAAATGGAGTCTGTGTAAGCATGAAGAACACTATCGGAATTGCGTTGAAATAAAAGTCCACTTGTTACTATGCCAAGCAAGTAACGCAAAATGCGTTTAACCCCAGACCGATGATTATGAGTCGGAGAGTGCATAAATTGACACACTTTTTTTACCCCAAACGAAATATTCGGCCGTGAAAGAGTCACATATTGAAGTGTACCAACTGTTTGATGATATTTAACCGGGTCTTCAAATGGTTGAGTGTCACCAAGGGAAAGATTGGTGGTGGTAGTAATCGCAGATGACACATATTTGGCATGAGACAAATTCGCATGTTCTAGTAGCTCGAGTATGTATTTTCTTTGAGACAAAACAATTTCGGACCCCTGTTTAATAATTTCAACCCCCAGAAAATAAGATAACAAC